CCCCAAGGTCCTTTTCTGCCAGGCAGCTCTCCAGCCACTACTCTCCAAGGCTCTAGCGTCACATGGGGATGTTGGCTCAACACTCTGAAGCTCGGCATCTCTGGTGCCAGGGGACACGACCACACTCAGAATCACCCATAACTTTCCTTAAAATTGTCAAAGACTGGGGATGGGTGATGAACTGGGCCTTGTCAGAGGCCATCATAGCCTATCTTGGTCCTGGGATGGCACTGACCATCTCCCCTGTCCTTGTGTGACACTTGGAGCTGAGACAAGGATTAAGAGCATCTCCTACGTGGAGGGTGGTAGGGGGTTCCATAACTCGCCTGGACTTCATCCCCACTGCCCTGCACTTAACCCTGTCCTTCAACACAGCCCCTGCCCCTCGGCCAAGGTGGGGGATCAGCAGAACCATCTCCATCTTCTCAAAAGCAGCCACCAAAATACCCGAAACCATCAGCAGCTGCACAAGCATTGTAACCCTGAATCTATCGCAGCCACCTGCCTTCACCCTGGCACGCTTGCCGGATCATGAGTTGGCAGCTCTTGGTGCCGGGATGTTTTAGGTCTTTAAAGCATCGTAAGCACCTACACGGTGCTGGAAACGACGGTTCCTCAGGAGCGCTCTCCAAGCCCCCTGCGTCTCCAGCGCCTCTTCCAAGGCTCAGCGGAGCCATCGTCGGCCGATCCAGCAGTGGTTTCCTCGAGTAAAGCCAGCAGCATCGCACCATGGGGGCTCGGTTAATGCTTTTTAAATCCTTCCCCAGCTGCACGGGGTGGTGCTTGGGAGGGAGAGATGAGGCAAGAGCTGCCATCGAGCTTCCATGGGGATCTCGGCATTGAGGTCTACAGACACTGTGATGTGCTGCCACCAAAGCAGACCCCAACGTGGCACGGGGCGCCCCGAATCCAGCCCGGCAGCACCCACACCTCATGCACCCCCTGGGGTGCCACGCCACGTTCCCCATAGCCGGGGAGAAGCGAGGAGGTGACGCACGGCCCTGGCAAGAGTCTGCTCTCCCGTCCGCCAGCGCTCGGCCTCGCCGAGATGAGTTTTGCTTCCTTTTAAGGCCCTGCTGCTCCGCGCTCCCCTCTCCGGTATCTGCGGCCGAGCTGGCATCGCCTGTTGGGAGAGCAAAAACAACTCCCCGCACGCCGCCGGGACACCCTCCTGCCCGGCTCGGCCGCGCCGCTGGCCCGTTTGTTATTGTTACCAATCCCTCGGAGCAGAGTTTGTATCCCCTTCCCAGCGCACAGGCAGCCGCTGGTTCCTGGTTCAGAGGCAGTTTGTCTGATGGGCATCGAGAGTTTTGCGTCAGAGGAGCTGACGGAGCAACTTCTTCAGCTTCTCACCCCACCTGGGAAACAGGAACGGAGCTTCCTCCACCTGGAAAAAGGCTTTCAGGGAGGCTGAGCAAGGAAACACTGTAAAACGGGCAGAGAATATTAAATTGACACAGATCCTCTCCCACTGTGAGGGTGCAAACGCGGTCAATAAGGAGTTGGAGGGGAAAGAGGAGAGCCCTAAAAGATTTCTGGATCTCCAGGATGAGGTTTTGGACCCTAAGCACCACCACTGCTGAGTCTCGAGCTGACTGCGAGGCAGAAGATGTGCTCCTCCCTCCGAGAGCTGATGCCTGGCTGGGATCCGCCGCCACCTCCCAGACATTTCACCCCCCCCAGCCACCAAACGGGTAACATCTGCCCACAGCAGCAGGAGGGAACCTTCTCCCTCCAACCAGCAGCTCGGTTTCTCGCTCCCACAGCGCCCGGGGACGCTCCCGCCTGGCCAACGGGGCATCCAGGGACCCGAGGCCCCCCTGGGGCTGGCAGCCCATGAAGTGCAGGGGGGGGGGGGGGAGTATTAGATCATGATTTTTGGAAGTCTGAAGTTCGCCTATGTCCTGCTTCTTCAGACATTAAGTCATTTTCCTGAGGAAGTCGCGTATGACGTTGATCTGGTTATAGAGGGAGTCGGGGTGGAGTGGCGAGCTCCACCTAGACCACGGCAGAGGTGAGGTGCAAGAGCAGCGGGACACGACGTCCTGTCAACGTCTGCCACCCGAAAAAGACTCAAGCGGTCAATTCAACCCGGATCCTGATAGTTTGAGATGTTCTCACCCACGCTTCAGGCGCTCTAAAAGGCTCAGTTTAACGCTTCCAGCCCTGGCTTCGATGGAAAAACTCTTTACCCACTTCACCAGTGATGTTCTTCCGTGCAGCCAAATGTCGCAGCAACCAGGGGAAATCAGGACGCAGCGCATCTTTTAACGAATAGCAAGGACAAAAGAAAAAAAAGTCTTTATTTAATGGGTTTTGTTACTTCTTATTTTTCAAAATACACCCCCAATTCTACCAAGAAAAACAGAAACACTAAACCCTTAAGGAGGGTTTGTTGGTTTTTTTTTTTTGAACAGTTAAATTTTCTCTGAAAAAAGTTAAAACAAGGTTGTTCATTCTTTCCCCACGGACCTTTGCTGCCCACGTCACTCCAACGCACCACAAGAGCATGAAAACTTTTTCAGCCTGCACAGCAGGCTCCATGTTTGCACATCCGAGCGCTGGGCCAGTTCTGCCTTACCTCCCCTTCCCATTCTTTTTCCTACACATCTCCAGTGCAGAAAGTTTACTTCTTATTTTTCAAAATACACCCCCAATTCTACCAAGAAAAACAGAAACACTACAGCAGGGTTGTTTGGTTTTTTTTTTTTGAACAGTTAAATATTTTCTGTAAAACAAGGTTGTTCATTCTTTCCCCACGGACCTTTGCTGCCCACGTCACTCCAACGCACCACAAGAGCATGAAAACTTTTTCAGCCTGCACAGCAGGCTCCATGTTTGCACATCCGAGCGCTGGGCCAGTTCTGCCTTACCTCCCCTTCCCATTCTTTTTCCTACACATCTCCAGTGCAGAAAGTCCAGAGTTTAAGTTCTTAACACTTACAAGGAGCTGCATGAGGAGGGTGCTGAGCGATGAGGTTACCTTGGAACAGCCCTGACAGCAGCGATGTTTGCAGTGAGCAGCTGAACTCACCCAGCTAGGACACACATCAAGAGACAGTGCTGGTTTGAAGGAGGTCCTCTCACATCTGCCGAGGGTACAAGCTGCCTAGGGTGGTGTGACTTCAGTAGAGTCAACTGCTGGTCACTATTAGGTGCGTGTTCAAGTTTCTTCAGTCACCAACCTGATCCCCTGGTCAGAAGAACCATGTAAATACACTCAGTTGGCCCTTTTACCGGTCATGGGTTGGAATACTTTCAGCTGCGTGCCTGAAGACATTTCTTCCTTGGTTCAGACTCTTCAGACTTCATCTACCTTTCTGCCAACCACAAACACTTTAAAAAACAATATGAGCACACATATCCATACCTACGCTGGCCTAGTACTGCTCGGAAACAACCACTGATGACATCAGTTGGATCCCTCACCAGGCCGAGCTTCAGAAGTGCTCAGCACCCATCCTCTGGAAAATCTGGCTTTTTACATGGATCTATTGAATTTAGCACCAGAAAACCAGAAGGCATCCAAAATGACGACTCATTTCTGATTAACGGGACCGTAGCGCTTTATTCCTCTCCAATAACGGGCTTCTCTGGACCGTTTGCTGTGACACACTTCCTTCAGCAGGCAGATGACGAGATGTCCCAGAAAACAACTCTTCTGTTGTCTGGTTTACGCCTGTAAAAAAAAACTTCAGGCAAACCAAAACCTGTAAAACCAAAAAGCAGCGTGCAATTCTTCACAGACGACGACAGCAGGTACCTGATGGGGGTTATCAGAAGCCCTCTCTAAACACCCTCCCCTCTCACTCATTAACTTTCAAGGTTAACGATACAGTTCTTTCCCAATAACAGCGAAGCCTTCCCCCAGTTACACTGGAGCCAATTGTGTGGGAAGCCTCCAAGATGTTTTTGCAAAGACAGAGCACCAACAGTGCCCCGGTCTATAATTAGGCATCTGAGCCATTTACAGAGGATCCGTTCAAGGAAGAAAAGAGTAAGAGAATTTTATATGCGCTGCTTTGTCCAAAAAAGAGATTAGGAAAGGCAGAGCAAAAACTATTTACCAGTCTTAGGGGGAAAATTAAGTTCATTTCATTCAGTTCAAGCTGAAGCAGATGTTCAGTACTTGTGTGTGTGCCTCAAGACCTGCTATGTTGCAGCTTCTAACCAACGCAAACGTTCAGATCAATCTGGAGAGCTGGGGGGGTAAAAAGAGGGGAGAAAAACAAAAAAATACCACAACTCGACCCCTAATTTAGTCCATCTACCACTTGTGGAAGCAGCACTGAACAGGTGACAGGCTGTATTAAAAAAATAAAATTTCATGTGAACAGATTAACAGTCTTTGAAGAGTTCTTCTAAGCTTTGCTTCTACCTGGCGGTTCCCATACTGCTTAGAAAAGACGGGTGAAATTATCGCAGTACCAAATCAAACTTTTCTGCGATACAAAAATCTAGTCCAGAGAGCTTACTTACACAGTAAGCAAGATATCTTACGTAACTGAAGATGGCATGTTCTCCTCCAACGCAGCAGCTTTCAGAGAGCCACACAGAAAGAGCAACACTCCCAAGCTGCCAAGAGGACCGGGAGCAAGACCCAGTTTATTTCTTCTGAAAAAACCCCATGATGGAGACCTGTTTGTTGGCTCTGTTGGCAGTAGCTGCCCCTTTCTTCAGGTTCTTCCTCTCTTCCTTCGGTTCTTTCTTCGTAGGCAGCGCAGGCTGTTTGTGTGCAGCTGGTGGCTTGGACTTGGCGAAGTCATCCTCGCTATCCGTACAGGATTCACTCTCGTAAACCTTCTCGGTCACTGGTTAAAAGAAAAGCAGAACAGATGATGATGGTTAAGCCCGTGCACCAAAGAACAGAGACCTCCCCACCGCAGCCTTCCCACCGCATTTCTGGAAACGAGCATTTTGGGTTTGAGGAGTACATGCCAGATACAGGAACTCAGTCCATTGCTCAAGGTCATGCGGTAGATCCAGACGACTGGACTGGCTTTCCATGCACTGAGTCAAACCACCTCTCCTCTTTCTTAAGCGTAAGATGGCAGGTTAATGACTCGGGAGCTTTAATGTCATCCAGCTGTTTGGAAACGGCTTGGTGTCACCATGCACATTCATTTGCAGGCCACGTGCACGCCTCGAACAGCAGCAGCCCAAGGCTCCTCACTGGCAAGGGCCCACAAGAGAATCACAGAATGGCATGGGTTGGCAGGACCCTCTGGGGATCCCCTAGCCCAACCCCCTGCCGGAGCAGGGTGACCCCGA